GACATCGGAGGTTAGCAATGTTTTGGACTGCCCTGTTGTAGTTGTTCATTTAAAAACTTATCAACGCATAACGACCTTATCTGTATGCACGCTCAGTAGCCTGATTGACCAAGTACGAGTTGCTTCACAAGTCTAGAAGAGAACTCAGTGTTTAAAATAGCTGCGTCTCACTCCAAACCGCGCCATCTTCATAAACCTCCATCCCCGCCCTCCCTTGTAGGCCATCCCCACGGTGGAAGTTTGCAATCTGGAGGCAGGAGCCGAGGTGCCGCGCTTCATTGAGGCCAACGCCGCGGTGGATCACCCGTCGGGATCGTCTGTTGACCACGAATCGGCACGCATTGCGCACTCCACTCTTCAACAAATTGCTGCCGGGGTTTATCCTGCAAAGTAAGATAATCGCTTCTCTCTCCTCTTACGTGCCCTTTTTACGTGTACTGCTACGGTGTTGTCCACACCAGCTCGGGTGACCACTAGATGAACCGCCTGCCTTATCTGAAATAAATAAATCCATTGTCCCCTCCAACTGTGGCCAATAAAATACCGGCCAGTCACCCTCGGTGGCTATCATTGCTAATTCAGCTGACTTTAAGTGGACCTGTCAACAGGTCTATGCACATTTTTGATGAGTTTTGGGGCAGTTTGTTGTCCGCTCGTACGCTATATACTACCAACCATCCGGTCCAACATCTCGTTCAGTTTATTTTCTGCTTACAACCCAAATATGAACTCAGATCTGCAGTAGTAATTCTATTTGGTGGAGGGGAGGTGTCTTGCTTGACAGTATTCTCTTGTCCGACAAAGGTTTTTGCCAGTGAAAGCACGTCACGTCATCCATGCTGAGTTCGCGTCGTTCTTCTGCGCCTACACTAGCCAATATCTTCTGATTTTTTGTCATCAGTTTTCATTTCATCTAGGATATATTGCCCTACATAGATTAACTTGGTGGCATTTAAATTTAACGATGATTCTCGTTCTTGGCGAAGATTCGGGGATTGCGTCTAACGGAAAAAAAGTTGGCTTAAAGCATTGGAAGCAAGTCACTCATTCATCTAGACGGCGATTGGAGGGCGACGGCTGGCTATTTACATAAGGGCGGCGTCTCGAATCAATGTTGGTTTCCGCTATCCTCTGCTGTGTTAAAACCCTGGTCCAGTGTAGGTCGTAATCAAGTAGTATATGGTGGGTACAGTGGTACGCAGACCCCGGACTAGGTGAGCCTGGCCCAATGTAAGCTGCGATTAGGTAGTGTATGAGGAGTGCAGTGGCATAAAAACCCAGGCTGTATAAGCTAAGATCCGATCCGTTGCCCACATCATGTTATTGTGTTACAATCCTGGTAGAATGATTGCTTTAGATCAGAAAGTGTAGAAGTACGCCTATGTCCGGATTTTGCTGCGCCATCTACCTGCGCCCGATCTTCTTGGCATCAGGCGCCGGCGGGTGAGGTAAGAGAGTGTAATAGATGCAGCAAAGGTCTACTATCACTTCAAATTAGTTGGCCGGGGAGGATCTCATGCCAACTCATTACTCTGACCGTTTTCTACCTCTACTACTACTCTGTTTTTCCTTTTTTGGCTTCTATACGCCAATTGTAAGATGAATAAAGCCCAATTCTAGGGTACTCATAAATTCTGACTCCCGTCTGTCTGGCTCATACTTATTTAATCGAGCGGTTTTTTTCTATTCCGATTACGAAAATTTATTCATCTTACAACTCAGAATGGGCGGATTCCTCCAATCAGAATGATTTGATATGGATTCGAATGCTCCAAGCGCTGGTTTTGCACGTTCGAGAACTTTTTGACCAAGATCGAACGTTTGAAACCGAAGAAACTGAGTGTTCTGATTAATTATGTCTCTCAGACTGTTTGGAAATGCATCAGTAAATGTACCACTTACGAAGATGCTATTAAACTGCTGAAAAACCTCTATTCAAAACCTAAAAATGAAATATTTGCCCCCCACTTTCTAGCGACCTGCAGACAAGGGGGTTGGCAAACCCTCGATCAATCGCTCAGAAGCTGAAATTCTGAGCTAAAGACTGTGATTTCGAAGTAGTTACAGCAGAGCAATACCGTCTTGAGGCCGTCAGAGACGCCTTTACTAGTGGCAGTTGAGCAAATCAGATTCGACAGGGACTGTTGGAGCAGAAGACCTTGAACTTTCCAACTGCGTTTGATCAAGCGGGATCTTTGGAATTGGCAGAAAAACAGTCTTTATCTTACCAAAATCCTCAGACAACATCATTCACTGCCGCCACTGAGGTGTGCGAAACTCCTTACAGTCCATCCTACAGTAGACGCCACGGATCACCCAACATTTCGGCGTAGGCGAAAGATTGATACTCTTTCGCTAATCGGTATTGACTCAGGTTGTG